AAACCTCCCATATTTTATATACATAATAATAATAATAATAAAGTAAATATTTATTTCAAGCCTTATATTTCATTATTATGTATAAACCCTAAATTTGGTCGGAACCGGTTTTGCTCGAGAACCAAGATATCAAAGTTGTTCATTTTGTAAAGGCTTATTTATTATTAAAATATTAGAAAGTGATTACTAGATATTTAATAAGTTCTAGATAAAACAATATGAATAAATATTATTTAAAAACTGTTGTTACTTTTCATGAAAATGTATTGCATATAAGTTAAGGAAATTATTTTTACCTTCAAGTTATAAAAAAAAAGATTTGTCGGAAAAAGAAATATTTTTTAACCTATTAACAACAATCTCTTGACCTTATTTTTTTTGGGGATAGTTACAATCAAAAAAATAATATTAATGTGACGTGTGCACTTATAACAAGCTTTGAATGATGTAATTTGATCTTTATCTCAATCAATCAAATCAATCAATCAATCTCTATTAATTTCAAATTCCGTTCGACACGCTATTTAAACTCTTTTTAAATATGTGAAATTAAAAGAATTTTGAATCGTAAACCTATTTTTGATACGCAGACGACGCGTATTAGTATGTCCCAAAATGTTACACGTAGAAAAAAATTTTATCATTGTTGATCTTTGATAAAAATCGAAAAAAAAAAATGCTTAAAAAGACTCTTTTCAATGCAAATAATTCTAGAAATAATTATATAATTCTATTAAAATCTTTATCAACATCATCTAAAGAAACTAATTCAACTTATAGTAATACGTTATTATTACCACAAACTAGCTTTCAACTTAAAGCTAATGCTATAAAACGAGAGCCCTTATTCCGTGATAGATGTACAATTGATCTATATGAGTGGCAGGTAGATAAAATAAATAAATATAATAATTTGTTAATTTGATAATTTCCCTAGTGAATTTGGGATTTTTTCATTGGGTTTTATTTCATTTCAATTTTTTTTTTAATTGTAACTTTCAAAGATTGTTCTGAATATTTAAATTTGTGCTGATTAGCTGGAAAATAATCCCAAAGAATTATTTATTCTTCATGATGGTCCACCTTATGCTAATGGAAATTTACATATTGGTAACTTTTTGTATATTATGAAAAAAAAATTTTAAAAAACATTTAATTAATTATTTATTTTTTATAT